TTTTTTTTTTTATTAATAAATTTTTTGGAAATTTTATTTACATTAATTAGTTATGGTATGGTTAATTGTTGTTTCAAAATTGATTATTATTTTCGAATGAATTTATTATTTGTATCTTTGAGTTTTTAATTGAAATATGAGAATATCTGCATCTCTTAATTTGAATTGAAATCAATGTATTAAGTTTATTAAAATTAAGTTCTATTCTCTCTCATCCTTTACTTTTATTGTAAGAGTTCGAATTAATTACTCTAATAAGTAATGGTGCGTGATATATTACATGATTTGGTTTTTAAGTTTTGTTTTTCTGTTTTGATTGTGATATATTTTTAATATGAATGGTTAGATTTAAGAGATTGATTTATGTAGAATTAAATGTGTAGAATGATTATCTTGTATATTTAATAAATTAATGTATAAAGTTGATTAATTATAAATTAACAATTTAATTGATTAATAAATACAATTTAGGGATTGTGAAAGAAATAGAATCACATTCCAACTCTGGTTTTAAGTTAAACATTATCAGGTTAATCAGATAATTTAAGTTTGTATCCACAACATTTAGTTTGTATTGAATTCTAATATTTGAATAAATAAATACTGCAGCTTTTTTATCTCTAATTAATTGTTATTTATATGATTTGCGATGAGCAAAGAGTATAGTTTTAGCAGAAGAATACTTAATTCCAGCCTTGTTAGCAGCCTAAGATAAAATTAATATGAAATTGTTTACATCATGGATTTTGTAGCTATGAAATAGAAAGAGTTAGAGAAACAAATTTTTAGCATTTGTTGTGATGTAAGTATAATTTCTTGGTTTAGATTCTTGTCTACGCTTTTTTGAGAAGTGGCGTCGTTTGATAAAAGTATATTTTGTTTGATCAAGAAAGGCCATGACGTAATGAGTTAAATGTAAAAATAATAAATTATTTAATAATAACCAAAAAATATAAAAATTATTTGGTATTCAAACACTATCATCTTTACGATCTTCTGGTGGTTATTATTTATTTTTTTCATTTGCCTTAGTTGCTTTTTTGGTTCTTTTTGATTATTTAGGTGGTTCTTATGGTTCAACATTAGCTGGTGTAGTTACTTATTATTATGTTACTACTGAATCATCTTTTTTTCTATTATTTTTTTTTGCAGATGCTGTCTATTATCCTGTTTAAAGTGCTTATTAAGGAGCTTATACAGCTGCTTCAGTTTTTGTTTTACGTGGTCTATTTTAGGCAGGTTAATTATTAGTTTAAGTTATTGGAGGAGCTTAAGCAACTTATGGTGGTTATACTGATTATAATGGCTATTAAATTTAAGTAGGCATCACTTATTATGGTGGAGCTTATTATTATGGTAATAAAATAGGTTAGTTACTACTTAAATTTTCTATTGTTGATGTTTTTGTTTAATAATTCATCTACAATCCAGTATTTGTAGGTTAGTATGGCTTACCATTTTACATAGGAAACATTCTTTATGGCATTTATGATTTATAATTTTTTCTCTAAAAAATATTTATGAATTGAATACAAGTTCTTTTTTGATTTATTCAATAGGATAACAATCTTATCTAGCAATATCATAAATGTTTTTATATCTTTTTTCTATATGTCCTTTAGAATTATTAGCTGACTTAACTAATTCTTTTAAATTAGAAAATGAAAGTCTTTCAACCATTGAATAATCTGCTTATCCTGAACTTTTAATTTAAATAGGTTCATCAAACTTAATTTTGGATAACAATTCTTTAAAAATAGGTTTAGTATATTATTTAAATGGATTTTAAGGAAGTGGTCTAAAATGCTATGTTTTAATTGGTAATTTTTTGTATATAAGAGTCTCATAATCATTAATAATATTAGTGTATTATGGAGATTATTAATGTTATTTCTTAACATATTTAATTGAATCACATTTTTTTTGATATTATTAAGGTAATATGAATTTAGAATTAGATGGAATACTCTTATTAAATACTAGCCATGCATAAAGATCAGCACAGAAATTAGGAGTATATAAATATAAATTGGCTGTAACAGTATTTGAAGAGAGTGCTTAACTAATTTAATTAAAATCTCCTTAAAACTTATGATAATAACTAGATATGATAGTATAATGATTACTATATGAAATATTGTTTGACTAATTCATTAGACTTAGTAATTTATTAAGGATGTGAGTTAAATCTTTCAGCATCAAGTGGTACAAATTTTCCATTTTGTTAAATAAAATGACAATCTCTTTCAATGTAATTATATTTGTATCTAAATAGATCTTTAAGTTCTAATTAAGATGGTAATTATTATTCTAAAGGTTAATTAGTTGAAAATATCTTCATTCTTTCATATATAAATTGATATATACTTTTTCATCATTTTTTCTCCATCATTTAAAACTTATTCTGGAGTACAACCAATTCTATATAAAAGTTCTTCATATTCAGGATCTAAACATGGTTCTTAATAAAATGGTTTTGCTTTATATTTAAAAACCATATCTAATGATGTTGGAAAACTATCAATACTCATCATACTTTTTTCAAATGATTCTTTTAATGGAATATCTTTATTAACAAATAATTATAATGCTTCTTAAAGATTTTCATATTTTTTTTTAAAATCAAATTCAACAGTTTATTTAATTTTTCTTCTATCATTAGAATGAATATCATGTGTATTAGATTCTGAATATGTTTATTACATTTCTGGAAATAAGGATTCCAAAGAAACATAAACATCTCTATTAGTTGATAAATATCTCTTAACTTTTTACAATGCATCTTAATATCTCTATTCGTCTAATTCTTAATTTTCAATTTTCATAGTTCTTAAATATTTAGATATTGGTTTTTAATTAGGTTCTTCAATATCTAATAGATTAATAAGAATGATTTATACCCATTTAATTAAATGCCTTTTATACCATTTAACATAATGAATATGATATACAAATACCAAATTACTCTATTTCTTCTCTCTCTTATTATAACATTTAATGAGTAGCCTTTGCTTCTTATGCTAATTAATAATTCACTGCTATCTATATAAATTTATATCATTCTATTACTTTCCATTTCTTTCTCTCTTAAAAATCTAGCGCCTTCAATTACACATCATTCATTACTTATTACCAAATCTTCGGTACTCTCAATATCTATAATTAATACTTACTTATACCTCTTAGTTTGTTTAATCATGCATATTCACTTTTGCTATGTATGGTTTCTTTAATGCACATAATTTTTCAGATAGCACATATTTTCTTATATATAAATCTGGTAATGATATATATAGGTCCTATTATCATCATATTATCTTACTTCCTATTATTTAACTGTATTCCTTCCCTAAACTGGTATTGCTTCAAATTGTCTTGTGTCCATTTACAATTTTTATTATTTTTATATTTTTATAATTAACTCATTTACATTTTCTTCTCCCTTTTATATCTCCAAAATCACATTATAGATTTTTCTATCATTAAATTCTATTCATAATCAATTCATTCTCTTATTATCTTACTATTTTACTACACTAATTATTTTAGTTTCTTATTTGTTTCTAATTATAAACTCTATTTTAATAATATAACCATTCTATAAATGCTTTAGATACATTACTTACATTTACATAAATATTCAAACATCTTTAAGATAAATTATTTAATTGATAAATTCTAATCTATTTTTTTATAAAATACTTAATTCATGATTAATCTCTGTATTTGTATTTAGTCCTTCCAAAAAGATATTCTAAAATACTGTTATTAACAATTATTTCCTTTAAATTTAATAGGAAACCTTGTAATTACTATAAAAATTTAATAATCTATGTTTAAATAATAGTCGATCCTTCATAATTTACAAAAATCACAATCTTTTTATTGAATTCTATTCGTTAGATTATAATATTGAGATTTTCAAAATTCGATCATCTTTAACAATAATTTTACAAAATTCAAACAACTTATAACGATTTATTTAAAAATAAACATCATAAATTTAATTTAAATATAAAAAGTATTTATCTTCTATAACCTTGATAGATAAAACTTATTTTAAAAATCGCATAACCTAAAAGAATTTATAATCCTGATTATTACTCAAATTAATGAGTCATAAGGTTATCAATATTCATTTATTATCAAAATAATGATCTCGTTTTGATTTTCATTATAATCTTAGTTTGAAATATTTATTTAAGAATGAAGTTTATTCAACCAATATTATCAACTAAACAATAAAAATCTTTAATCCCTTTATCCAAAATTTATTAAAATATTTACAAAATCAATTTATTTCTTTAAAATATTACATTTAGAATGTTATGACTTTCGATCATTTTTGCGTATGTATGCACAATCATCATTAATGCAAAATACTTTTTTATGTTATTGACTATCATTTTTACTCATTTAAAAAATTCTTAATTAATATCGAAAAAATAACAAAAACTTCATGTTTTGAATAAACATGAAATTACAATATATTTACAGATAAACTATAAAATGATTAAAAAAAAATATAATTTTAAAATAAATTGTAAAATCGAACAATTAATTAGAGTTAATTATCTAAATTTGAAATATGCAAGAATAATTTCCAAATCATTTTATTTGAAAATATACTAGATATGATATTATTAAAAAATATAATCTCATTTCTTTTTTTACGATTATTTAGTGCTACTTCATAACTTATTCGATCATTTAAATTTTATTTAACTTGAAAATAATTAGAAAAATATGCAAAAATAAAATGAATGATATATTAGACAATATTTATGTTTTATAAAATAATGAAATATAAAGAAATTCTAAAAGTTCAAGTGAATAAGGTTTGAATTTAATATTAAATAGAGATTCTATTATAACATAATTGCTTAAGTAGATATAGTAATTTTCCCGTTAAATAAATTTTATAAAATTATTGATTCTCATAAGGTTTATTATTTATAATAAAAATTTAAAATTAATGCTTTTTTATAAAATAATACATTATATTGAAGATGAATTAGAAGCATTTATAGAATTTAGGATTGATTTAGTTTTTTATAATTTATTTTAATTTGCATATAATGATTAAAAGATCTATGAAATCAAATCGGCCTTAAAGAGCAGTAACAACAGTAGAGACAGTATATGATAAAAGTGCTTTCATTCATAGAAATCCAAAAACTATGTTGAGAGAGCTATTGTATGAATAAAATGTATAGTAAAATTAAGAATTAAAGATGATATAGGCTTAAAAAGGCAAAGAATAAAAAATGCATAAGGTTCCATCAAATTCCTATGTCTTACAGATATTCTTTAGATATACCAGATTTAGATGAATATTTTGGGATGAAAGATTAAATATAGATTGAAAATTGTGTAAAAGATTGTAAAAAAAAAGTGAACACTTGTAGAAACAGATTAGAACATTTAAAGTTTAAGATAGATGATTAATATACTTAAGAAATAGAAGATAAATGTATTAATGAATTATAACAAATTTAACAAACAAAAAATAATAATCCTAAATAAGATAGAAAAGATGATATCTATTATTAAAGAAGAATTCATTCAACTATTTCTTAAAATTATGAAAAAAAAACTAATCAAGTAAATAAGTTTAACTAAACTTTATACTTTTTAATGAATAATCGAGATAGATCGTTAGAAGAGAAATCAGAAAAGTTAAATAGAACAATAATAGGTTAAAAATTTTTGGATGATACTCAGAATGAATTAAAGAAATCTTTAAATTATAGTATAAAACAAAGCATAGAGTAGAAAACAAAATTTCTTTCCTTATTATAAACTTTATAAAAGAAAAAAGAAAGTATAGATAATTTATAAAGGAAAAGATTGTAAAACTTAAGAAATCAAATATAATAAGGATAGTATGTGGAAATATGATTAATATAGTATATTTATTATTAATTTGCATAATAATTTTGTGATACAAAAGATGCTTATGTAAATTAGTATTAATTTTGATCAAATCATTTAAGCATTTAAGTATTAGTATTATAAACCATAAATTTTAATAGTGGAGATATAAAAGGATAATTAGTCGATAATTTCTAAGATGTATACTTTATTGTTAATTAAATAGTATTAATCAAATTTTAGTATTTCTATTAGGATAATTTTCTATTGAATGGTCAGTGTTTTGAATCATATACAAAATGCAATCCAAGCATTCTCTTAAGATAGTGTAGAAATCGAAGTCACTAATCTTTAAAGTCTTTCTACTTTACTCTAAATTGTAATAGTCTTCTTTATAATTACAAATATAATATTTCTTAATCTGTTGATGTAATTATTGCAATGAATTCTTTAATTCGTGACTTATAACTTATATATTTTAACATTTAAGATAATTAAGAGAGGTTTGTATTTAGTTTTTTTCATATTTCAGTTATTCATTTTGCATAATAATTTGTTAGCATTATTCTTCTAATTGTTCCATTTGTGGTTGGAGATTGTTAAATTATTATAATTATTTCATTAGATTCTTATTCTATAAATCCAATTAAGCAATTTTATTTTACTGATCCCTTATTATGCTATCTTTTTATAAAAGGATAGTCAACAATTATTTTTTTTCTTTTTAAATTTATTCAAGCACAAGAGAATAATTGTAAGTTTAATTAATCTTTTTTTCTTGCGAAGAAAATTTAAATTCTTGTTTGGTAATGGAAGTTGAAGATTTTTTTAATAGATCATCAATTTTGTTATTCACCTCACTTAAACGTGAATTACTTTGTGGTGTTTATATAGTGGTAATATTATTGGATCTAAATGACAAATTAGTGAGATGAGTAGAAGTTGATCTAGAAAACTTCATTTAACGTTGTTTAATTTTATGTGAATATAATAAAAATAGAATGTAATTAAGTAAAGGTTGTAAATATGAATGAATAAATGAATTATATAAATTAAATATAATAATAATTAATAATAGAATGAAGATAGGTATATAAAAAAGAGTTTATATATAAAAATGAGTATATATAAATGTGGGTTGATATATAAATAATTAAATAAAAATATCTTTGTAAATGAGTTTTTCTAAATAAGAATCAATCATTTAGTCTTCATTGACAAAATCACATATGAGATACTTATCTCCTCAACTTGGAGAACGTAATGGAGGATCAGTAATTCAGAGAGAAACAATAATAAATCCTTAACTGAGAGAATCATAATTTATATTGTCATAAACTCCAAGAGAGACTGTAATTCCTTTAGATGTGTAATATACTGTAACAAAAAAGGTGGATTAATAAAACTATTCTGATTATGAAGTTAGAATCCAATCTTTGTTACATGAAGTGGAATTATGGAGAAAACGATATTTAGATTTAATGGCTATATATGATAAGAATATAGCAAATGAAGAAGTGGTATATCTATATATATTAATATGAATAGATAAGATTATAAGATGCAAAGATCTAATTATTATATGGAGAGAATGATGATTTATATGGGTAAATTAGATAATTAATAAAAGAGAACGACGAATTGAAATAAAGATTAAATACATATGAATTAAATAATTCCATCGAAGAAACAAAGAATAACTATGGTATTAATGGTTTATATTATTTAGAAAACTTATAAGTATAATTGAAGAGTAGATTAGGAGAATTAGATGAATGGAGAGATAAATATAATAAATTAGAAATTGAGTTAAATAAATATCAAGCTATTGAAATTAAGAATATGTAAGTAGAAGGATAATTAAAAGGATTAGAAGGTCAGGCTAATTAATGGTAAGATAGATATTGGTAAATGGTTGATGAAAGAAATAAATTATAAGATTAATTATTTGAAATAAATGAAAAATTGAATGCTGTTTAAATTGAAGCATCTTAAAGAAATCATGCTACTGAAATTAAATTAAGAGATGCTGAAATATTAAAATTAAAAAATCTTATTTAACATTTAAATAGTTAAGTTGATGAATGGAGAAAAAAAACATTATAAATGGAAACTGAAATTGAATTAAAATAATAAGATGTTGAAGCATAAAAAATGAAAGTTATTAAATTATAAGAATAACTAAATAATTCAAGTATGACTCTTTAATAAAAATGTAAATTAATTAATGAACAAAGTCTTGATATTACTAATCTTGAAAATAAATTACTTGAAATCAATGTTTTAAATCAAGAAATTGAAAATCTTAATGAAATGTTATAAGTTTAATAAACTGCTATGAATGATTTAAGAAAAGAAATCTCTAGATTAGAAAATAATTGTGGAGAATTAAGACATGAAAAATTATTAAAAATTGAATTTGAAACCGAAAATAAGAGATTAGTTGAAATTGTAGAATAACTTAAATAAATTGCCAATGATAGAAAAAATCAATTAGATGCACTTAAAATTAAATATGGTAATTTAGAAATTGAAAAAAATTAAATTTAATAAAGATTAGAAGAAACAAAATATTTAACAACTTAAATTAAATAATTAAATAATGAAAATTAAACATTAATTAGAAGAGTTAAATATTTAGAAGATTAAATTGAAGCTAATAAACTTGAAATTTAAGATTTATAAGCTAGAATATAATAATTAAAATTATTTGAAATTGAAAATAAGAAAGCTAATGAATTAATTATACTGAAAGATAATGAAATACAAAATCTTAGAAGAAAATTAACTTAATTTGAATTATAACCAAAAAGCAAAGATACAAGTGAATTAGAAGCGAGAATTAAATCTCTATTGAATGTTATTGAATAACTAAAAGCAGAATTTGCATAACTATAAGAATAATATGATAAATAATGTAAATAAAATATGATATTATCATAATAAATGGTTTCAATTGAAATTTCATAAGAAACTCGTATCGAAGATAAAACAGAAATAAATTAATGGGCTTTAAAATCTAATTAATTATCATCTGAATTAGATTTATTATCTAAATTAAATTAAGAGTTATAAACAAATTGTGATTTCTTAAATGATTAATTAAGATTATTATAAAAATAATTGATAGCAAGAAGATAAGAAGTTGAAGATTGGAGAAGATAAGCTGGTAATTATTATGTTGATGCTACTGAAGCCAAGAAATAACTAAAAGAATTAGAAACTTAATAAAATATATTGAATGCTGAAAATAGTAAGTTACTTAATGAGATTAAATAACTTAAAAATTAATTGATTGATGAATAAAATAATTGTTAAAAGTTATCTTTATAATCTGTTGAATAGAATTTAAAATAACAAGGTGAAATTAATTAATTGGTTTAAGATTTATAATATACAAAGATTCAACTTTAAATAAAGACAGATGATTGTGAGAATTAAAGAAGAAAATATTTATAATCAGAATAATTAAATCACGATTTGAAAGGTATTGAAGAGAAATATACTTATGCTAATGCTTAACTTACATAAAGTAAATTAGATAATGAAAGATTGAATTAATTATTAAGAGAATAATCTTAAAGTTAACCTTAAAATTAAAATAATAATGATTCAAATGAAGTACTTTCATAATAATTATAATAACTCTAAAACAGATATGATAAACTATAATAAGAATATTTAAATACTGCTACATAAATTCCATTATTAAGATAGGAACTAGCTGATAAAGATTTGACACCATTATAAAAAAGAATTGATGAATTATTAAAAGAGAATTAAAAATTAACATTAGCTTTTTAAAATAAAGTTAGAGAATGTGAAGAACTTAGAAGTAGATGTAATACATAAGAATCAAGAATAACAGATTTAAGATTTTTAGAGAAGAGTTATCCAGAATTATAAGGATAAAATAGATAATTATAATAATAAATAGAAGATTAACTTAATGAAATGACTCTTTTAAATACAGATATTGATAAATTAAATCAAAAGATTGCTAAATATTAACTTTAACTTAAGAACTATTAAATTTTATAAAATGAACATGCTTCATTAAAGAGTATAAGTAATGTTAAAGATTAAGATATTGCTAAATTAAAGACATCTAATTATTTAATTGGAACTGATCTTGAAAATACTTAAAAGATTAAATAAGAATATGTTCATAAATATGAGAAAGCAGCTTCAGAAAAAGAAGAAATAAAAGCAACTTTAATTCAATTATAAATGGAAGTTGATAGATTGAATAATCGTTTAGGAAAAGCAGAAGTAAAAGCACTTGAAGCAGAAAGATTAAGTTAAAAAGTTATGATTGTAGAAGGTTAATTAGGTTAATCTTAAGAAGAGAACTTTGCTTTATAAACTAAAAATTAATAAATGTCTAGTTAATTAAAAGCACTCTAAACATTAAATGAAAATTAAGAATTTAAGATTAATTAATTAATACCATTTAGAAATTAATGGGAAGATTTACAAAATATCATTTAAAAAGAGTATTTTTAATATTATATATTTTTAGTTAAAATTCCATAAGTAATATATAAGTTTAATTGGCTTAAGCTACAGAAGCAGCTAATTAATATTTAAAAGACTTATAATAAGCTTAAGAGTAATTGAAGAGTTAAGAATAATAAATTTAAGAGAGATCTAAAATTATTGTTGAATTAGAATAAGCTAATGAATAAAATATTTCATAATTGAATCAATTCTAAAAAAGAATTAATGAAATTCAAGAAGAGAATTTCTAATTAAAAGTTACAAATTAAAATGCTGTTTTAAGATTAAAGAAATTAGAAGCAATCGAAACTGATTATGCTAAAATTATTGAAGAGACTTAATAATTATAAGATTAATTAAGTGATCTTAAAGATAAATTAAAAATTAAAGAAGCTGAAGCTGCTTAATTCTAATATTGGAAAGAAAGTTTAGAATCAAGAGTTGCATTATTAGCATCTGAAATTGAAAGATAAAAACATATGGTTAAAACTAAAAATGATGATATTGATAATTTGAAGGAAGCTAATTAACGTTTAGAAACATTAGTTACTTAATTATCAGCATTTGAAGGTGATGCTAGAAGATCTGAAGAATAAATTATTTAAATGAAAGGATAAATAGATACAATTAAATCAAATTTAACTGTTAAATAAAAAGAATGTGAAGAACTTAAATAAATTAAAGAAAATGTAGAATAAAAAAATACTACATTATAATAAGATATTGATTCATTAAAATCTAATTAATTAACTTTAAGTGTTAAATCTGAAGATCTTATACAAGAAGTTTAAAGATTATAAAATGAATGTAATTAAATGAAATCATTTAATGGAATCAAAAATGAATTAGAAAGCAAAATCTAAGCTTAAAATTAATAAGTTGATGAATTGTTATAATAATTATAAAGTAAAAATAGAGAATTAATCGATCTTAAATAAAAGTAAATTTATTATTTATCTATTTAGATTAAATGATTATGATTCATAAAACTAAATCATTAAACAATTATAAGTTGAAGAATAGAAATTATCATTATAAATTGTTACCTAAAATAAAGAAAAAGAGGAATGGCATGCTAAAATGGATTTATTATAAAGATAAATAGAAAAATTAGAAAAATCTAAAAATGATCTTGAAAATAAATGTGCTTTATTAGCAGGTTAATTAGAGGTCTAAATATAAAAATATTCTAAATCATAAGGTGAAAATAGTAGAATGAATGATTAAATTATTATGCTCACTGATGATAATGAGAGATTAACTTAATCTCTACAAAATGCTTTGATTGATTGCGATGAATTAAGAAAGAAAGCTTAACCGCTCTAAACTTCCTTTATTCAAAATTCAACTATTGTTAAATCATCCTCAGTAGTTCATAGTTGAGACATTACATATTTACATTAAAAAAATTACACAATATATTATTATTTTTATCAAAAATATTATATTATATATCTATTTTATTTATAAAAAATATTATATTATATTATATTATTTTTTATAAATTATTTTACAATTCATTAATTTAATCACTTTTTATGATATGTTAAACAAAATTTAATATGTATTAATAGTTACAAACTCAAATCAATTAGTTTAACATATTTTATTTAATAATCTCTAACAATAAGCTAATTTAGTATGTTTAAATTTAATTATATTTAGATCAAATAATTAAATTGTTTATTATGTTTATTATTTAATTGTTCTAACTTATACAGAAAGAATAATATTGCTTACATAATGAGATATAGAATTAATTATATTTAATATTTAAATAGTGTTAATTTTAGCATTTTCTCAACAAACTATAATTTTATAATCACTTCGATAACAAGATAAACAAATTTTAAATATTAAAAATTAGAGGGTTTTACGATGATTTTGAATTAAAAGAATCATTTAAAAGATATATTAATTTAAGGAATTGATGAATAAAATATTTAATTGATATAAGGTTTTGAATTTAGAGAATTTAATTGTAATTAGGTTGTTAGCTATTAAGGAATAAAGGAGAGAACACTATTTACTGATAAAATTTGTACATTAATAAAATATATTAGAATAAGAGGTAATAGGTTTAAAATATAATAAATGGATTATTTACAATCCATCTTTACAGAGACAATTATTTCTGATCCAATTTATGATTTTTTTAAAAATTATTGTAAAGGAAAGATTTTCATTTTTTTTTTCGAATTCTCTTTTTTTTAATTGTTTCTGTTTCTTGTTTATTTGAAAAGTTTCTTAAGAATTCTCGATCTTCATTTGATATAAAATCATCTCTAATATCATATTATTGGATTGGTTCTTCTTATTGTTATTTAAAATAGTTTAACAGTTCATTCAGATTATCTCTGTTTTATAGTCTTCTATCATATTTAGATTTCGATTCTTCTTTGGATAGTGTAGTATAGGCTTCATTTATTTAGTGAAATTAATCTGTTGCTCTAAAATCGCTATTCTTATCCTAAAAAGATATCAACAGTTGAATACTGGATGGCACTAAAGAGCCAATTTATGATAAGCTTTCTTTATTTGATTAGGTTAAGCATTTCTCTCTAAGCCTAAAATGTCATAATGATTTTTCATTATTATTATTCCATCTGAACATCCCTAAATAAAACATAGAAATTCTGGAACAATTTTATTATTATAATAAATATAATCAAACTAAGACCTTTTTTAACATAACTTATTGTTTCTTCTTGCTTTCTTGTTTGGATGGTAGCTGTTAAAATTAATATATTTTTACATAAATTTATTAATTTTCAAAGGTTATCAATCTATTTATTTTTTCTTCATTCATAACTGTATTAATTAAAACAATTCTAATTCTTATTTTGAATAATTTTAAGCAATCATAAATTCTCCTTTATTCTAAATTCCTAAACTTTAATATTCACCATTTATTGCTTATTTTTAAACGAAATCATTTTATGATATTTTCCAGATTTCTATAAATTTTTGTAAAATAATTAAATATTTATGTTTTTGATTATAAAATATTTTTTAGATTTAATTTTAAGTTTAAATTCGAAATGATAAAATGTAAATTTATTGATTATTTTATTTCCAAATCTTGATATTTTTATCAGATGCAGTATATATATTGTTATTTTCATCAAAAAATATATCACAAATAAATTTTGAATGTTAATCACATATATCTTAATGTTTTATCCATTTCCCATCATTATATTTCCAAATAATTAATTTTAAATCAGCACTTCCTGATGCAAAATAATCACCTTAATCATTTAATGCTAAACTAGTAATATTATTCTTATGATCTTTTATAGATATATCTTTTTATAATTTATATTCTTTTCTATTCCAAATAATAATTTTTTAATCTATTCCTGCAGATATAACCTAAGATTTAGTTTCATTTATAATTATTTTATTTATTGAACCTTGATGTCCTAAATATTATGAACATAAAATCCAATTATTTTTACTTCTTTTCCATATTTTTAATAAAGCATCTTTTCCTGCTGTTATCATCCAATCTTTATTAGCACCAAAACACATATCTGTTATATGATCTTATTTACATAAATTTTGAAATTAAAAATTATTATCTTCAAAATTAACTTCTATTAATCCAGAATAATCGCATAAAACTGCTAATGGTTTTTCAGAATTTATAATTATTGGATTTACCCATTATTATAATTTATAAGTTGAAATAAGTTTATAATTGTTACGATGTACATTTAATTAATCTTCTTTAGTTTTAGTACTTTTTATTGATATAAAATATTTATTAACAATATTCTAAATCTCATTTAATTCTTTAAATAAATGATCTAAATAATTCTTGATATCTAATTATATTATCTATTTATCTTTTTCATATTTATTATTTTCTAAATCAGATACCATCTCTCCTAATTTCTAAATATCACTTAAACTTCTAATATTTATTCGATCTTCAAATCTTGCTTAGGATTCTAAATTCATTCTTTATTTTTCCAAAGAATCAAGTAATTTATTAAATATTTTTTTCATTTCTTCAGAAAATTGTTAAAGTTATTTTTAAATCTTTTGTAACTCCTCCATACTTTTATCTTTATTATTATTGATGATTTAACTTTCTATTAATTTTTAATTATTAACTCTTTCTAATCCTTTTGCTATACTATGTGGTTGCTTTATATCACATTCTTTACAACATGCTCTTTATCCTAATGGAATTCCAATCTTAATATCAAGTAATATGATTTCTAAATTATGAATTGGGCAAAGTATTTTTGATTCTGTATATTACATCAAGAAATAATTATTAAAATAATTAGTAAAATGATTAATCAATTTTTAAATTGAAATTATTTTCTTTATTGAAATAATATAGAAAGGTTAAGAATTACTCATTACATAAAATGAATATTAATTTGAAGAAAGATTCTTTATAATATTACAAATATCAAGTATTTAGTTAAATTATTATAAAAAATGAAAAAAGAATAGTATGTACAATTTTTCTAAAATACTTTTAGAAGATTTTCTTTAAAAAAGTGATAAGTTAACTTATTTTAAATTTTTAATCAATTAATAAATAAATTTATATAGATTTGTTAACTCATAATCCATACGCTTCTATAAATTATAGAATTAAGAATTTATATTAAAATTATTTATTTTACTTATAAAAATTAAAAACAAAAACTTAATAGAAATAGAAATAATTTTATTATGAGAAACAATAAGGAATATTAAATAGCTGGCGAGAATTTTTCTACTTAAAAAAAGCTAAAGAGTAGAATTAAAAGAATTTTAAATGACAAATATAACTTGGGTCAATAATTAGAAAAGGTGATTTTTTATTCATGCTCGATGTTTTGAAGCATCATCATAACTATAAATAAAAGTTAGGAGTTGGGATCAAATCTATGATGGTTGATTAGAATACAAAATATTAATAAAATCGTACTTTTTATCTAATTCGTAATGATGATACTAGAGCTGATTTTAGTTATGAAAAATGTCTAAAAAAATAAACAAACATGACATTTTTTAAAAAGCATGTAGAGTAGCAATTGAGCTTGATATATCTGAATTTAAACAAAAATTCTTTTTAGAATAAAATTAATAACCATAAGTATTGTGTTCTATAAGAGGTGAACCAATTAGTTTAATAAATTGTGAAGTAGATCATAAATCACCTAATACTTTTGTTAAATTAATTGATGATTTTATTGAAGAAAATTAGATTAATGTTGATGATATAAAGTTTGATGGTGAGGAAGATACCAAGTCAAACATAAATTAAATGATAAAGAACTTTTAAAAAAATGGATAAATTATCACCGAGAGAATGCAGATTTATAAGTTGTGAGTAAGAAAGCAAATAAAAGTATTTTACAAAAAGGTACCAGAAAAATCAGAAGATAAAAATGAAAAAATCATATTTGAACATGATATAGGATCTAAGACTTTTAATAAATCTATTTCTAAATAGTAATATATAACTATTAAAAAAGTAATTAATTTATAAAATTTAAATACTAATTTTTCTTTGAGTATTATAATATTTAAATGGATTAATATTTTATGTAAATAATAGAAATTAAAAATTAAAATGGCAGATTCTCCTAATGTTTACAATAATTTTGAGAATGAGAGGGATCAATTTTCATTTTAAATTGATCCTGATCCTTTGAATATCAGAAAAACTGCTGAGGAAAAAATTTAATAGGCAAAACAATTAATGATAGAGTCTAGAGCAAAAATAGAAAAAATTAGAGATTAATTGTTAAATAAAAGATGTTTTATTAAAATCAAAGAAGTAGAAGATAAACAAAAATTTGAGAAGAATCTTTAAAAATAAGTGATTAACATTTTAGTCACGACTCTATATAAATGTACTAACAATAAGTACATCAAAGAAAGGATCGAGAATGTAGCTGATCAAATAATTGAAGAATGGATAACTTTAATAGATACTAACATAAAATTTAAGAAAGAAAACCCTAATTTAAATAATCTTGATTAACTTAATCAATAATATAAACTAAAGAGTAATAAAAATATATTCCGTATTAAATAATTTAATTAAACTTTGATTAAAGAAAAGTGTTAAATATAGATTTAAAAGTCCACTTAATATATTGATTTAGAATAATAGATTAATGGTATTAAATATTTCTTTCATGAATTAAAGAAGAAAAAAGAAAAGGAAAATAAATAGAATTAATTTGCTTTTATAGATTTATAAATTAGTGCTTTAGAAGAATTAATGGAAGAAGTTTTTAGAAAAAAATAACTTTTATCAAAGAAATATATGGCAATTAATCCAAATTTTAACAAAAAAGATTTTATTAATTTTTGGAATGATGATCAATTTAAGTAAGAGTTTTAGAATCTTTAATAATTATTTGAGAACAAAAATATAGAGATATTAAAGTTATTTAAAGTAGATTAAAATAGTGAGAAATTTGATTGTCTTGTCTCTTCTATCTCTAATTTGCTTTAGAAACATAATGGAATTTTTGATATAAAAAAAATAAAATATTTCAAATGAATATGAAAAAAGTAGAAGAATATTTATAGATTTATACATTTGATAGTCCTTCACGATTTTTAAATTTAGATTATCCAACGAATTAGAATGGTAAACATATTAAAATATTATTTAGATCATATGGATCAAGAGCCAACTTTGAAAATAACTTAAAACGAAATAAGTAATAAAATAGAATAATAAACTTAATAAAATTAAGGTAGAAAGAAAGTCAAATTATGAAAAATTATATATTATTAATAATTTGCTTGAATAGTCTTAATTAATAAAATATATTTAAATTTGTAATAATTTCTGAAAATATTTTATTTTCTTGTTATATTAGTTGGACATTCAGAGACTTTGTACTTTCATAAATACAACAAAAATCACATAATTAGGATAAGGACTAAATAACAAGCTAATATTCTTAAATTAAGTTTTAAATGTTTCAAGATAATAATTTAATTAAGTAAAATTCTTATAACAATGAGTAAAAAATCAATCTTAGAATTATTTTAAATTTGAATCTTAAAATAAGTTTGAATCACAGTTAAAATGACAGGTATTAAAATTCTAAATATTATAAGTTTTATATATACAATCATCAAGATTAAAAGTTTATCAAGAAAAGGAATAAATGGTAATGATAATAATATATTTTCAAATATTTTAAGATAAATAGTTAATCATAATAGATATTAATTTTATTTATTTAATTAATAAATGAGTTTCTAAGGATTTTTGGTTAAGAAAACTGTGCAATAATTTCCAATAAGATAAAAGCCTGTATATTATGATGATTTCACTGATTAAAATTTTGTTCTATTTATAAATAAAAAGTTAGCTGATTTACGATGTATTATATGAATATATTAGTTCAAAGTGGCAGCAACGATTTATCAGTTAAAAGAATAATGAACTTAAAGATAAAAATCCCAAAAGACAAAAATACTGAGGGATAGAAAATAAAAAGAAAGGCATCAATAAAGAAAAAGTCTTTATCAGTTTAGAAAGATGATTCAGAGAAAAAGTTTAGGTACAAATTTAGATCTCCACCGGTAAAACCTGAGGTTAGATTAGCATCTTATTTAAATGATGAATTACTAAAATAACATTAGATAAGTCCATTGTATTAAGAATACAAATTAGCAAATTTAAAAGCAAACTTAGTAAAATTGCAAGCTAAAAAATCATACTAATTAAATGAATTAAATCATGTAGAATTAGAAGATGAAGAATAAGTGAAATATTTTTTAACAGAAATATGTAGAAATCATCCTGAAATTGATGTAGGATAACTATTAAGAGTGGATGTTGAAAAGAAAGAGTTAAAATTAGATAATTAAGAATAAATATTAAAGGAACTAATATAGAAAAGAATAAAATAAGAAGAATTAGAATAATTAATGAAATTAGAATAATAATATAATTAAAATCTTGTAAATATTTACAAAGAAACTAGATATGATTAATTTGAACCAGAATTTAAAAAATAAGGTTAAATTAATATGTGTAAAATAAAGAGATAAAAAGAAATTTAAGATAAAATGTTTTCTGAAATATTTAAAGTTAAATCACATCATCATCATCATCATCATTCTTCTAAAAATAATACACGTAAACATTTGTTTCATACTAAAAATAATACTCCAGAATCTAAACATAAAGTTACACTTTCATAATAATTTTCACCATCAAATAATATATTTATTTCTTAACCTACTACAGTATAAATATCACCATAAACATCAATGCATTAAGAAATAAAACCAAGCTTAATGACAACTTCTATCGGTACTTTTAGTGATAGTAGATCTCCTATAAATATATAAAACACTGATTTTAGTTAAAAAATAAAGACTATTATGGATAAATGTGAATTATTTGAAGATGAACATAAAATATCAAATTAGATATTAAAAAAAAGAATTAATTAAATGGGAAGAGAATTAAATTCGTATTATGATACAGCAAGAAGTCGATATAAAAATTAAGATATGGAAATAGATACAAATGATGGATTTGATAAATTTTTATAAGAAAATCATTTCAAAAGAAAATTAATTGAATTTCAGGTTAGTTAAGTTTAAAATTTACATGAAGTACTTAGTCAAAAAGCAAAAAGAGAATTAACTAATAATTTTATGGGATCTGATTAAGAAAAATAGAAATTATTTTGATTTTAGATTTTATTTATATAAAATTATTTTGCTTATGAGTTTTGCATCTGATTAAGGTTCAGAAGAATCTGATAGTGATGATTCAATATTTCAAATGAATAATATTTAATAACGTAAGAATTTATCTGAAATTGATGTTATTATTGCAATATTAAGTATCGAACCAAAGAATAGGTCATATTAATAATTAGAATTACTATGTGAAAAATTTGAATAGAATGTTCATTACTTTTAATAAATAAGAAGTAAACTCAATCCCAACATTTTAATTAAATTGATGTCAACCATTACAATTGAAAGATTTAAAGCATTCAGTGTGGTATTTAATTAAAGTGAAACTGGAAGAAAAATGTATATCGTATTATAAGGAGAAGCTGCTATATTAATTAAAAGCAATGATCATTTTGAGAGTCATAAAAAGGAAGATAATAAGAAGGAAGAAAATAAACGAAGAAGTACAATGAAATATCAAATATTATAATAGGAGCAACTAAGACTTTCGATGAGTTAATTTTACATCGTTATCAAAATTTCAGAATAGTTGCTTATAAAAAATAGTATGATTATTTTGGAGAGATAGCAATAGAACAAAGAATTCCTAGGACTGCTACTGTTATTACAAAAGAACCTTGTATATTTGCTATATTAACTTTTGACGCATATCAAACATTATTGAGTGAACTAAAGGCTGATAATTTATAGTTAAGATAAGTTGTGATTGCTAAAATGTATCCATTTCATTTATTAAATGAACAATAATTGTAATCTATTTTACACAATCAAGAAGAATTAAATATTTAAGCTGGATCTATATTGTATAAAGATTTATAAACTGCAGATTCAGTTTATCTTATAATTAAAGGAGAAGTATAAGTTTCACTTAAAGAATTCATAGATAATGCAGCTTCTAAAGTTTAAGAATAAAAGTATTTTCTTAATTTTTAAAAGTAATAACGGATTAAAAATATTGGTCTATTTAGTGTAGGTTAAATTATTGGAGATTATGAGATATTCTTATTTAAGATTTATAAACGTAAATTTATAAGAAGAACAACAGCAATTGTTAAAAGTGATTCAAAAATTATTAAAATACCTATCTAATAATTTGTTGATGTTATTGAATATGGTTTATCATCTAAATGGCTTATCAAGTATTTGAATGATAAATATGAATCTAAACAAAAATTACCTATTTTATAAATTTAAGATGAAACAGAAAAATAAAGATAAAATAATTTTGTTTCTCCACAATTAAAAAAAATGATTTTGAGAATTAAATAATATCATGATCATAATAAAATATCTAGTGAAAGATTTTCTAAAGTTAATTATTAATACGATCAAGATTAGAACACAAATGATCAACCATTTACAACGCTTAAAAATGAAATTAATTTCTAAGATAAATCTGTTTTAAAATACTTAGCTAAAGATTAAATTTTACCTAAAAAATCAATCAATACACTATCATAATTTAGTGTTGAAAAATTTGCATCATCTTTAAAATCTCGTATCTAATTTTCTAAATTAATGACTTAAATTGATGATGACATGACTTGTTATAGGTTCTATTCTTCACCTATAAAATAAAAGCCTAAATAAATATTTTTAAGAAAAGTTTGTTCTTAGATACAATCTCCATAATTAATGTAATCCTCATAATTATTGAATTGAACAATATTATCAACTATTTTTTAATTTTAAGTTGAAATAACTTATAAATAAATAATAAAAAATCTGTCTTGATATTGATAATCGTATTAAAGTTTAGGATAGACAAAAATGAATATATTGATTATATAAAAGTCTTAAACTCAAAATATGATGTAAAAAAATAGATAATAAATATTATTATGATTTGCTTTTGTCTAAAAGTCTATAAATCTATGTTATATAATAAGTTGATTTAAAGATTGAAATTGAATCTTAATAATCTGATATATAAATTTATCTCATTTATAAAAATCAATGATACATTCAGAAGAAGAGAGTGAGAACAGTTTTACACCAGAATAAGAGTAAATAATTAATTTAAAGATAAGGAATGAGGATAATATAGATGAATTAAGGAATAGAGACAATAAAAAGTATGCGATTATTGATTAAAATGTTCGCATATAATTATTACGTCGTATACTCTCGAAATAAACAACAATAAAAGAGGCAGCAAAGGAATTTGGGATAAATTTCTCTACAGCAAAAGCAATTCTATAAACATATAGAAAAGAAGGTCGAATTGGTAAGAAAAAGACAAGAGATCGAAATAAAAGTAAATAGGATTTAGGAGATTTTAATCAGACAAGAAAGATTTAATCAATGTACAATCTTGAACAACCTTTATAAATGAAAACAATAAGTCCAGAGAAAATACCTACACCATAACCTTTTTAATAAACAATGATTCCAGTAATGAGTTCGCCAAACCTTGATAATACATAAATTGCATTGGCACTTTGTTAAAGAGAGTTGGCTTAATAAAAATTAGTGAATTTTTAATTAATGATGATGATCTAAGTAAAATAGTAATCTAAATAATTTTAGAACTTTAATAATATTACACAACTACAAGTCAAAGAAGAATCTAATATAATTAATTGACTTATATTAAATAAATATAAATTATTATGAACGTCGAAACACCAAATTCCGAGAAAGTGTAACAAGTACTTTCTAAATAATATTTTAGATTCTTTAAAAACAAGAATCATTGTTAAAAGAATAGAAATATTATGAATATGAATAAAAAATACTGACTTTTGGATCAAGATTTATTAATTAGTAAAATAAAGATGGAGCTATCACTTTATATTTATAAGCAAGCAAAGTCTTAGTTAAAAATAATTAAGATAATTCAGGATTCAATCTAGCCACAGAAGTGATTAAATTATCAGATGAATTAGATTCTTAAAATATTGGTAAGATTGATCTATTTATTTGAAAGCTGAGATTATGTCAATTTATTCAATTGCATAATTTAGTAAATTAAAAGTTCAATTCATTAACAAAGTGCTAAAGAAATATCCAAATTATAAAGATTAAATTTGTTAATAAGTTGGAGTTGATTTACTTAATCATAATAAATTTCATTTAGCATGGAGATATTTAATCTAATTATCAGATGTTAATACAGAAATTTAGATGTTGGTAAAATGGAATTAATAATTACCTGAATAAGAAAGACAATATAACTTAATCAGATACTTATTAATGTAAATATGAAAAATAATTTTATTAGTAAATTAGGTCAGGGATTATATAATGAGAGTGTTAAGATAATGAATGAGTTAATTCCTACAACAGTTACTTAAGAAGCTTTATTTATTCATTTATTAGTAAAATCAATCAGAATTTAAAGCAGGGAAGCATATGACTTAGTTTTCAATAAGTTTAAAGTTGTGATTGATGCAGATCCAATTTTTTAGGATGTATGAAAATTAACTATAAATTAGTTATATTATAAAGTAGGTGTAAAGTACTTTGGACTAAAGGAAAAGGAATAATCATAATCGGGTATTGGTGGATTATTGAGTTAATTCTTTTAATGAAATTACATTTTGTATAAATATGAATATTCAATTTATGAATTTTGTTATTCAACTATATAAAGAGATTCTCTTAATATTAATAAGACTATTATGATAGATAAAATCTTTAATTTTTTTTGATGGAATTTGTTTATTGCTTTTTGAGATACCTCTAATTTTTAAGATTTAAGACTATTATTAGTTATGATAAATAATCTAAATTACATTTAAGATTATTATATTATATTATATTATA